AGTGGGAGGAAGGATGCAGGGCTGGTGAGTGAGTGCCAGCAGTGGGAGGAAGGATGCAGGGCTGCACAAGGCAGCGCTGCTGTGAGCCGAGCTGCCTGCAGAGCTCTCCTGGTGCTGCAGCTCCTTCCAGCAGCTTCTTTTTGTGGATTGGAGCGGGACAGAGCTGAGCTCTGTCTGGGAAACACAATGGGCTGACAGGAAAACAGTGCACCCACCATCAGCAGTCTGGGAGAACTTGAAAGGGCTCTAGACAGACATATTTTGCATTTGACTCTGGACTGCAGCCTTTGAGGCCAAACTCAGCCTGCAGTGCTAAGTGGCTGCTAAGTGTTTCCCTTCTTTGCCCCTGCTAAGGAAGCGCTGGGGATGGGGACAGGGCAGTGTCCTCCCCAGCTTTGCCACATACCTCAATCCTCAAAGCTGCAAAAGGAAAAGTCTTATGTTAGGCTTATAATGTACAACTTTTTGTCTACCTGAGCTGCTTTCCCACGTTCCCTTGCAGAGCAGATCCTGTCACAGCTGCCCTGTGACCCGTCCCCACAGCTCACTGAGCCTCTGGCCTGGGACCCTGTGGTGAATTAGCGTGGGGATGTTACCAACAGGCCTCTCAAACAGCTGCTTGCCTTTGCCAAATGTCATTTTTGCACTCTTGAGAGCACGGGGGAAATTTGGGGTTGATGCAGTTGGGGGCTCAGTATGGGGTTTGCAGTCCTACAGAGATCTGTAGGATCTGTGGGGTCCCTTGCATTGGTCCCAGGGTAGGAAGGTCTGGATGATCCTTGTAATATACCTGAAGACAGCACATAGCTTTTCTCAGGGAAAAATCAATCAAAAACATAAAAAGGAGGGAGAAAGGTTCCCTCCATCAAAAGAAAATGCTGTGTTATGTGAGCTGCTGTAAGGAGCTGTTTCTTGTGCTGCAGCATGATAGCAGATATGTACCACTTCTTCAGAGGCTCTCAAAACACTCTGCAGGCTTTTACCATTCCTGTAGCCACCCACAGACACTTGCTCAGAAAGCTGCCCAAGTTCAGGCTGTGCCTGTGCTGCCAGAGCTCAGCAGTTCTGTCCTGGCCAACCCTGCTCTTGTATTTCCTATTTTCTGGGTGAGGTGTCAGGCACTAACAAGGACAAGGAGTCACATGCTGGCACAGCTGTAGGAGCAGGAGTTTCATCAGACTTTTTCTCTGGAAAAACTCAGCTTTTCCCCATGGCCTTGTGTGCATAAATCAGGCTGCACTTGCTTCACAGTGAGCTTAGCCTGCATTTAAGGAGCCACTTTGTGGATTCTGGAGAATCTGAGGCCACTTCATGTTTTTAATGAGGTATGAAAGTAAGTAGGTATCAGTGTAGAGCTATCTGTTTTATTTTGGGCCCTGTTGATGACATGCTGTCTTTTCACTTTCCAGTACTCACTCTGTGCACATGGCAGAGGATCCTTCACAAAGAGTTGCCAAGATGCTCTGGAACTGTGGCCTCTGTCTGTGTGCCAGGTGGGAATCTAATGAGTCCCATTTAAATGGCAGGAAGGCTTTCCTCACGTTTTGGGGGGAGGATCTCTTAGATGCAGTTTGTACTGCTCTGTGTTGTCCTTTCCTGCTTGTGCAGAGCCAGGCAGACAAGGCAGCCTGGCTTTAGCCCAGTTTATTAAAGCTGATAAGGTAACACTTTCTCACAGAGAAAGCCTGAGGGTTGGGTACTGCCTACTGCACCCACGAGCAATAATCCAAGGCTGCTTCTTTTAAAGGTGACTTTTATACTTCAGCTGTCTCTCTGGCAATGATTTTGTGCCCCTCACACTGGAGCTTGCTCTCTGGGCAGAATGTTTCCCTGGGAACGCTGCCTGGGCAGAGGTGGCAGTGCCACTCCAACCCCATTAGCCAAAGGCTGACACCTTATCTTCCTCCAGCAGTCCGGGAGCCCCAGGCAGCAGCCAGCGATGGAGAGATATCACTGTGCTGGAGAGCTCTGAGGATTGTGTACAAACCAGCTCCCTCCAGGGTCCTGCTGAGCAGTAAGGACCTTGCTTCAGGTCATTTCAGGTGAATGAAATTTAAGGTGGGAGAAATGCCAGAAAACATTTGCCTTACTACAAAACCCAGAGGAAAATGTTTCTTTCTAATCAGCTTCTCAAAGAGATGCAAAGCAAAAGCTCTTGGTCTCTGCTTTTGTCATCACACATCCCCTCCCTCGTGCCCTACCCCATCCTTCAGCCTAGGGCAGAGCCTGCCGTTAGAGCTGGGCTCAGCAGGATTTATCCCTGCTGCTGTCAATGGGCTCAGAGCAGAGCCGTGTATGTCACTGACCTACACATGTCAGATCCACTCTCTCCATCCCTTTCCACACCCTCAGCCTCCAATTTGCCAGTGAATTGTTAGACACCAGCACATTCACCTCTGACTTCCCATCAAACTGCCTGAGGGCTCTCCATGGATGGACAGATGAGGGTAATGTGCTAAATTCCCTCTTTGCTCGGGATGAATTTCCTGGCGATTGCTCCTATTAGCCACGCTTTCCAGCAGTAGTAACAAATTCAGTTTTTTTTCACTTTTAAACCATTTCCAGTGCGACTAGAATGGCTGGGAGAAAGCTGGTTGTTAACTAGTCATGGGTAATTAATGGCTCCACCTTCCCCATCAATCAGCTGGGAGAAGCCAAAAGGATTTGAGTACTTGTAGCAAATGTGGTTCCCCAGACATGCTGATACACGGTGTGCAAATGAAGTGGCAGCAGGAGACCATCTCATAGCCTTTGTGGAAGCAGCAGCAAGTCATGATACACATCCCACGCTCCTGTCAGGTGAAGTCTGAAATTCCCAGAGCTGCTGCTGCTGTTGTGCGGTTCCTGACTGTGTGGGATGTTGATTCATCTCGCTGCTAGCTTGAATCTGACCCAATTTTTGTTCTATTTTTCCTTTTCAGATTCTGATTATGGTTGTCTTTTTCCGCTTTCTACAATTAAAATACTAGCATTAGAAAAGCAGGACATGGAGGGGGGAGCAGATGCAATGCTGGCTTTCCTTCTGTAGCAGGACAAAAAAGCTTTTCTGCATCTTTTTTTGTGTCTGGTAGTGGCTGTGCCAGCACAAGCAGAGATCTGACCTTGATACCATTTCAGCTGACCTTTGCCCTTCTGATTTATTTCTCCACATATTTAATAAATAATTTCCATTTGAGCTACAAGCTGACATTTCTCCACCACATGGTTTTCCTCTCCTCAGTGGTGCTGAGACTCCACAGCTCTGGATGTCTCCAAGTTACCTGAGGGAGAAAAGCCTGGAGTCTTCTGTGTTACCCAGTGGTTTAAAAGGGATGTCAGCAAGGCTGGATGTGCTTCTTCAGAGGTGCCAGGAGCCAGTGGACCATCTCCTGCTGTAAAATCCTCCTCTGGACTTCCCAAATTCTCCAACCTTTTTATTTAAAACATTCTTCCTTGCCACACTAAGCATTGGCTTTTCTGTCCCTGGCTAGCACTGGGATGCCTAAAATTCAATATACCACTGGAAGGGAGTCAGTCCCTGATCTGATTAAGCTCCTTTGTCCTCTCTGCATGTCCTTCCATTGTCTGCTCCAAAAGAAAGTAAAAACAGAACTGAAAGAATGCTGTTTGGGTGTAGAAACTCACTAAATAAATTCAAAATTTGTTTTGTATGTCAGACAGAAGATCAGATGTCCCGGTAACATCACTGACAAAATAGAAAAAAGCGTTGATTTTATTTGGAATAAATCGAGACAGTGAAAGAGATGCAGCCTTATAGCAAGTTCTTTGTAATGAACAGAGCTCCTAAATTTGCTGTGCAGCACCCAGCACTGGCCCGTTCAGAGCAATATCCTGCTTTTGACCTCCACTTTTTGACTTTTTATTCCTGTAAATGTTAGTACAGCCATTTCTGTGTGTGAATGCACAGAACCCCTTCCTCAGGAGGTGCAGGGGCTGTGCTGTGCCCTGGAGCTTGAGCCTTGATTGCTGTCTCTTAGCACTTGTAAGCACTTATAAGCACAAAAGCTAATGGTCACACTTGCAGAATAAACTAATTAAGGGAAAATGCTCAAGCCCTTCTATTAATGCTCATCCTTCCCTGGGTAAGAGCAGTGCCTTGAGCAAGGCATAACCTCAGTGCCTGATCTTCCCGGAAAAGAAGTGCAGTTAAAGGCTGGGAATGCAGAGGTTGGGCAGATGAGTGATGTTATATCATCAAACGTGTTCATGTTGTTGGAGAAGGCATCAGTGGGTGAAGGCATGTGTTGCTGCAGCATTCCTGTTGTGAGAGCAAACTTTACACAGACTGTTAATCTCCCATTTGGGAAGGAATGAGCTCCAGGCCATCCCGGTTCTGATACCAGAAATCAAGAGTAGAATGATTCTGTGTGCTGAAGATGAGAATTATCACAAACCCATCGAAGAGCCAAACAGAAATTATCCCTGCTTGCTGTTTAAGGGATTTGTTTTTATTTTGTAGCCAAGTCCTCAGTTGATGTTTTCAGTCTTGTCTCTATTTGTTTAAAAGTGTGTTAGCAGTAAATCAAGGTGCATTTCCCCTGTAGGGTTTCCTGTATGTCAAAGCCATGTTAATTCTCTTTGATTTTCTTCCCCTAGCCCCAGCCATTGCTGCAGATCCTTCCTCTCTTTGTCCCTTTGGACATCAAAGGCTCGCAAGGGGACAGCCCTGGCGGGAAGCTCCTCCCTGCTCATTAGCCTCCATAAAACAGGAACTCACCTTGGCTAGCTGTGCTTGGAGTCCCATCCTCATCCCGCTCACTCTTGACACTGGATCTCGGAAGGAAGGGCTTGTGCTTGCTTCAGGAAATCAGACCTGCTTTTGAACTGGACTATTTTGGCTCCCCTTGGAAGAACTCTGGTGGCTCTCTTGGCCCTGCAAGCTCCTTGACGTCACAGTACATGGAAAAATGCAAGCTTTACCAGGTAAGTGAAGGGCTCCTTCCCTTTTCTCACTGCATGGAAAGATCCCAGACTCATGCCAGAAAGGGAACAAGTGCACCTGAAGGGCTCACCAGCATTTCTAGAAGAATGTGTGGGGCTAGAGAGGATTTTAAAACTGGGTTTTTTCATGGGAGTAGATGAAAAATGGTGCATTTGAGTGTTTTTTGAGAGCCCTAGAAGATCTTTGGTAAGATAGCAAAGGTTTGCTCACAATTGTGCCCAAAACTCCCTTACCCACATCACCTTGTGCAGTGTGACCCTGCAGCTGAAGGCTGGAGGTGTTGTTTGTGTATTGTCTGCAAAGCACTGAGTTCTTCAGGTTGAAGGCCACAGAAAGTTTGGAAATGCTTGTCATATTTTTAATAACAGTCCTGGCACAAAGTCTCTGGGTTTGAGGTTTTTTCCCTATTTCCTATGCCCTTTGAAAGTGTGAACCCCAATCAGGCACAGCCAACTCCTTCCAGGTTCACACCAAGCACAAGATTTGTATGATTTCTTTAGGGTTTCATTATGTTTTCCTTCAGTCCAGCTCAGAGCATGCTGTTAATCTTTCCTGTGTGGAGCATGATTGGATTGGGCACAATGGCAGAGATGCCTTGAGACACTAAGGGTCAGCCCAGAGGTGCTGTATTTGTCAGTTCAACTGAACCCTAAATTTACTCTACATCAGAAAAAATCCTGGCCCAGTTTATAGGCACATCAGAGGTGACTGGGCAGCCTCAGCTTCCTTTCTCTTCCTCTGCAAGATGTTGTCTCATTCATGAACAAAATATATGTGCAATATGTTAGATGATTTCCACCTTTGCTGCTGTTTTGGGTTTTTTCAGTCCCTGCTGTGTTGATCTGATTCATACTGATTTCTGTCACTTGAATTTTAAGCTAAGAAACAAAAGGCCAGCAATGAAAAAAAAAAAAAGTAGAGAGTATTATGGTATTTTCATGTTAAAGGTTCCAAATATTGCAGTATTCACCTCATTTTCTTACTGGGTTGCTTCTGGTGTATGACCCCCTAGAGCTGAAATGTTCCAGGTGATGACTGGATGCATCTGAGAGATGTAGAAACATCATACTTTTGTTATTGCTAAAAAACTCTCTGGGTCTGAGAAATGAGGCTCCCTCCAGAGGGTCAGGGTGTTCCTACTGACATTGAGAAGATCAGAGAACATGGGAGGGTTTTTTTGCTTGTTTGCAATATGAATTTATTAGAAAACTTTGTATATTGATGTGCATTCCTCCCTGGTGGACACTGGATAGCTGTAAGTGTTGGGCTTCACTTGGAAGGTAACAGCAACAAACGTAATAATAACGGATTTTAGTCAAGGTAAGCATAGCTTGTTCCCTTATTGGAGTTTTCCCAGTATTGCAGATCCTATCCTACACATTTTGGGAAGGCTGCAACAAATTTTCTGATATTTCACATTGTCTCAGTAATGGAAAATTAATTAAGGAACTGCTTTAGGTGAGGCAATTGTATTCCAGAATCTTCCATCCAGAGATCTTCTTCCTAAAACTACTAAATTGTCTCACATTTCTCCTTCTTTCCTTTCTGCCCCCAAGATGACAAAAAGATAGGTACAGCTCATTCTAGATACAGAAACTGTGGCACAAGCCACTCCTGTTGGTATAAGGACCTTCAAATCAAGCACAGAATAGATTGAAGATCTTTTAATTTTCAGTGCCTTTACCATTGCAGCTTCCTACCTTTCAACCTCATCTGGACATAAAGAACACGTTTTTGAACAGGCCATGTATGGTGTTACCAACACAATGATAATAGGAATATTTTTTTAAAAGTAAAACCAGAACTGCTGGAAAAGGTTTAAATCTCTTTTGGATAATAACAGTTTTAAAATCAAGTTGCACAGAAGAGGAAACCGTAGAACAGCACAGCTCACACAAGTTCCCCTCAGTGCTTGGACACTGCCCAAACCTCTCAGTGCCACAATTCCAACACTCAGGCATCTTTGTGGGAGGGTGAGTGCATGAGCCTTGCCATCAGTTACACAGGCACGAACTAGGAGGGAAACAAAAAAATCCAAACAAAATTTGCAAACAAAATCCAAAGTGGATCCTACAAACAGATCCATCACTGCAGGGTCCTGCTGAAGCTGAGTGGATCCATTCACCAGCTCCCACCATTGCTGGGCTCCAGCTCCTTGTGCAGACTGTTCATATCCTGCTTTTCAGCCTCAGCCTGTGCACACAAAACCTGCACAGTCAAAGGCATTAACTGCATTTTAAAACTTTAGCTGCGACATTTAATTGTCCCTGTCTCCTGCAGCATTGTGCTCCTACAGGTGCATTGTGGGCTCATTTTGGTAAAAACCAGATTATAACATCTGCCTTTGATTTTTAATTCAGTGTTGAACTCCTTTCACTTCAATTCCTCTCGAATTTATTGGAAATCTCCCCTCACTAAAGACTCCTGAGATCTGCCTTGTAGTCTCTTTTAATGGCATTGGAATTTGCTTAAAGAAATGTTAATTCGAAAATTCATTTGGGGAAGGAGTGAGCATCTGTCTAGCTAATCAAAACCTGTTTGCATTTATTTGTGACTGGATGGCTCCTGTGGGAAATCAGCCCAATTTTATTGTAACTCCTTTTGATACATGTGCTGCTCTGAGCTACCAAATGCATGGTCTCATGGCAGCTTTCATGTCTTTGCAAGAGGATATGGGGGAAGCTTTAGTAAGAAGATGTTAACAGGCTAATCTTGGTGAGCAAACTAGGTGTCACTTCTTGGCCAGTTCATTAATGTTGGATCAAAGCAGAAAAAAGGGTAGAGAATTTTTTTAAATGCCTAGAGACCTCTACAGACAGACAAAATTACATTTTAATGTTTTCTACTTCTTAATCCTAAGGGAAGAACCACTTAGACTTGTCTTGGGTTGTTTTGGTGGAAAGACGTTCCATTGTGAAAAAAGCTAATTTCTCTGAAAAGTAGGTAATTACTTTTTGTGAATACAATTTTGAAGGCATTGCTCAGAAAAGCTGTAATAAGGTGAAAATTCCCTTTTTTCTGCTGTCCTCTGAATAAGATCTGATCAGGCTGAGAGGCAAAAAAATCTACCTTTTAAACAAATAGCTGTGCCTGGCTGCTAATGCACCACCCAGAGGGGTCCTGCTGGCCCTGAGCTGGGACAGCCCTGCTGCTGTGGGTGCCCTGCTCCTCTTCCCTCCTCAGGGCTGTGTTCCTAAAGCCCTGCTGGTCTGAACTCAGCCCAGCAGAACTGCACTGGGTCACATCCTGACCTACAATGGAACTGGGCTTTTCAGTACAGCAGCAGCAATCTTGCCTGCCTTACAATATTGCTGAGAGCACACACTGGAGGTTTTAAGGAAATTTTTAATCCAAAGAGCTGTAGAGAGGTGATTGGTGCTATCAGCACCAAAGGCAGTTCCTCCAGAATGCTTTCCCTTTCCTCTTCCCCACTCGGTCCTGTGCATCCAGAGGAAGAGCAGGCAGATTGCAGCACTGCCATGGTGTGCTGCTGAAGAGACACCTTCCACCCCTCTCACAGCTCCTCAGGGCTCCCCATCTCCACTTCCCGTTCAGACCAGCCATTCTCTTTTCAGAATAGAGTCTATCCCTGTCACCTCCTTTTCTTGCCTTCACTTACGTTTAGGACTCCTGTCTGTCTCATCTTTGTCTTATGGGGGGATTTTTCACCTCTGCTACCACCTACTTGTCATTTTCCCATTACCCACTGGTGCACTTAAAATCCTTCCAGTCCTTTCAGCTTTCATTGCACTCTCTTGATAAATTGTTTTGTGTAAGCCTGATCACACCAGAACAGTGGATTGTGGCTACCTGCCAGTGTGGGTTTTGTAACAGTGGAGGTTAGGTTGGGTTGGTACAACACACCTACCAGCTCATACCAAACCTGTTGGAAAAGGCTCCATGCCCCTGAGCCTACTAAGTAACAAAAATCCTTTGAAGAAAAGTAACAGTTTTTGAGGTTTCTTGTGGCTCAGAGTGCCCAGACCCCGAGGGTCAGTTCCCCTCCTGCCTGTCTGCAGTCACCCTCTCCTTTCTCCTTGCAGACGTGAAAGCGCCGTGTGAGGCCCTTCCTTCCCCCAGCCTGGAGCCCTTCCCACAGAGCTCCATCGTGGTCACCCTCGAGGACATGGGGCTCTGGATGAAGTTTCACCAGATAGGAACTGAGATGATCATCACCAAATCTGGCAGGTAAGGGGCACAGGACAGCTGCCCACACACACCACACCCTTCCGAGCTGTTGTCAAAGTCTCCAGGTGCTCATTTTTCAAATGGTGACCCTTGAACTAGTTTTGTAGCCAGTTTAGCAGATCTTCCTGATCCTGGCAGAAGAATTGAACTTTCAGGGTGTCATAGAAGTCCAAACTGTGAAGTGCAAAAGGTCACTTGTAGGGCTGATGTGTTGAGAAAACTCCTGTACCCTTATCTCACCACTTAACACTGGTGTTCTTCCCTTCACTTTGAGGTTGCTCTGGGAAGTGCCCTGGGCTCCCTTTGCCTGGGTCACAGGCAGCAGCAGTTGAGCAGTAAAGGCCTGGGTTTGAGCCTGTGTTTGCAGACAAGAATGTGGCCCAGACTCATAACGATCTGTGTGTGCAGACTCCACTGAAGTATAAGTGAGTCATGTATTGTGGAGCTTGCAGGGAAAGAAGATGGAATTGTGAAGCTGTAAAGTATTGTTCAAAGCTGCTGTGAGCTGGAATAATCCCTTTGGGTAGGGAGGTAGCTGTCAAAGCTCTTTTGCAGAGTCAGAAGTTAAAAGTAGTGGCAAGGAGTATGGGAACAGAAAGCTGGGTGTGCTCTTAGATGAGAGCACGTTTTCTACCCACGTTCAGATTTAATCCATCCTCCAGGGCTGTGAGAGCTGCAGCAGGCCAGGAACTACATGCAACCTCCAAATAGTCCCTTTCAAGTTTGCCACTGCTGTGTTAGAGGAATTGGAAGAACAAAAGCAGTAACAGTGTCAGATCCTCAGTGGCTGCTGCCCTGTTAGTGTCTATCCCACCTAAACCCACAGGACTAGACAGTCCATCAATAAGATGGACAAATGGTCAGTGGCTGGCTGGAGAAACACTGCTCACAGGGCTTTGCACAGTAGTGAGTAAATGTGACATGCTGATCATTAACAGCCACTCACAGAGAAACCTTTATACTCAATTTTTCATTTCTCCTTCAGACGAATGTTTCCTCAATGCAAAATCAAAGTCTCTGGCTTAATCCCATATGCCAAATACCTCATGCTGGTAGATTTTGTGCCAATGGATAACTTCAGGTACAAGGTGAGTACTTTAAATATCAGAATTTATGCTGTCTTTTCATCTTTATTTGAAATAGATTAATCTTTATGCTTCACTTGTCACACTGATAAATAAATTCTCTTTGGACAAAGTTCACAAGTAATTGATGGATTTTATGCCTCTCTGGAGTTATTTGTCAGTTTTGCTTGGGGAGCAGCTGGAAAGGTAACTAATTTTCATTGTGAGTACAGTTTTAATCATGATTAATGTTGGACTTTTCTGGCAGCCATTGGGAGAAAGGGAGGAAAAATGAGGCCTAAACTTGGAGCTGATTTGGTAACATGATCATGGCTTGTAAGGAAAAATTGGCTACTTGTGCTTCAGAGGAGTGCACTGAATTGACAGTGAAGCAAACTTGCTGTGGCTTTTCTGTAGTGAAAGCATTTTTTTCTAAGCTCCACATTTCTGTCTTTCCCTTCACAGTGGAATAAAGATCAGTGGGAAGTTGCTGGAAAAGCAGAGCCCCAGCTCCCTTGTCGCACCTATGTCCACCCAGATTCCCCAGCTCCTGGCAGCCACTGGATGAAAGAACCTGTCTCCTTCCAAAAACTGAAGCTCACTAACAACACTCTGGATCAACATGGGCATGTAGGTTGTGCTGTGCTCTCTTGGAATTCATTACAGATTAACTTTATGGGAAATAAGCAGGATTTGTGAACAATTAGATGATGTAGAAATTAAAAGAGATTCGAGTGCCCTTTCTTCCTCCCTCAGCCAACCTTTGTGCCCTCTCAGCTCCCTGCTAGGGAAGCGTGGCTCTGTGCTGGCACTGCAGGGCTTGGAGACACCAACCCCAGCAGGAGTCTCTGGTTAGAAATGGCTGTCCTGGGAGTGTCCACAGGGGACCTGCAGTGTGCTGGCAGTGGTGGCACATGGTAACCTTGTCCTTTGTCTGTCCCAGATCATCCTGCACTCCATGCACCGCTACAAGCCACGCTTCCACATCGTGCAGGCTGATGATCTCTTCAGTGTCCGCTGGAGCATCTTCCAGGTGTTCAGCTTCCCTGAGACTGTCTTCACTTCTGTCACTGCCTACCAGAACGAGCAGGTACAGTGTGCAGGCTCTGCTTCTGGGCACACTGTGAAATGCTGTCTGTAAAATTTCCTGTAAAGGAAGGTGTCTCCTTCCTGTCTGCTCATCCTGGGCACCTGTGGTGGACAGTGGGAAGAAATAGGAACATTGTGGTTCCTGTGGAAAACATCTCCTCTGTGATGAGTCATGAACCTTGATGATATTGAGTGCACTGTCAGTGACACAGAACTCCAAATGCACTAAAAAGTATGGCTGCAGGTCCAGATACAGATGCTCACCCTGTATATTTCTCTAGTTAGATGAATCACACCCAAATCCCTGCTGACCCTGACAAGGTCATTTCTCTCTGTGGGTCAGCTCCTGATCAATGATGGGAGCTGCTGGGAGAGCTGAGATACTGTGGCAAGGCCATGTCCAAAACCCTCACACAGTTTATCTGTTGTGATAAATACTGAGGTGAAGGTCTTGGAACACTGAAGAAGCCAACCAGTCACTGTGATGCTCAGTGTTGTTCCTTTCCTTTAAAGATTACAAAGCTCAAGATTGACAACAATCCATTTGCTAAAGGTTTCCGTGAACATGGGAAGAACACTCGAAGGTAAGCTGCTTTTTCATTTTAATTTATTTGTAGCTGGAGTTCACTTGTGAATTTTGCCCAAGGTCTTTGAGCAAAACTCTACCAGCCAGCTCTGCTGAGCCTGCTGCATTGTGCACACTGCATTTCCCTGTATCTGGGAGTGATGTCCTTCTGTGCAGCCTCTTCTCAAGAGACTTGGGGAGTGGGAGGTGACAATTCCTACAGAGATGTGGGAGGTGTGACAAATTTGAGACCTGCATTCCCTTGCACGTTGGAGCTAGACTGGAGTCTGACATGTGAATAGCAGTGATAACAGGAGTCCACAGCAGACCATTTGGTCTCTTGGAGATCAGCTTGATTCTGACATTTGGAGGCTCCCTTGTCTCCTTTTCCTGTGGGTGGAAGTGTCTCTTCCAGTGGGAGATTTTTTGTGCAAGAGGGAAGATGGATACCAATATCAGTGAGATCTTCTGCTTGGTCTGAGGGCAACCATGGATGAGATGAAAAAAAAGCTTAAATTGCAATCCCAGGCTGGCAATAGAGAAGGAAAAAATGGAGGCTTTTTCCAAGCAGAAAATGTTACGAAAATATCTGAGATTTTGTTTTATGTTGTTTTATGCCTGAAAAAAAAACTCCTGTAAAAAAAATTTCCTGATGAAAAGAGGCCAAAGCTGACTCTTTTTTACTTAAACTTTAAAAATGTTATGGATTTTCTTTCTCCTCCTAATAGCATCCCTTCCTATATATCTAGGCAAAAAGCTTACATCCAAGCTACCCCCACATTTTGTTTCTTTCCAGGGAAGGACGAGCCAAATGCCAGAAGCCCAGTCCAGCCAAGAGCCAGAAGAGGAAGCTGCCTGAGGAAAAGGAGCCTGCTGCTGAGGAACGTGGTAATATTCATCACAACAAACCCAGAGAATGATATTCAGAAAGTTTTTTTTAAGCTTAATCATTCCTTGCTCCAGCTCATGGTGCTGCTTGCAGTAGCAGAGCTAAGGAGAGAGGACAGGGCAGGACTGACCACCACAGTATCTGGGCAAAAAAGAGCTGGGGGGGCCATTCCCTTAAAACAGAAGGGCTGCAGGAGGTGGCAGTGTGTTTCCTTCCACCATCCTGTGATTACTGCAACTGCCAATAGACCATTGTGAGCCTTGCCTCCCTCTTCCCCTTTCTCATTCTTTTCCATTCTTTCTTTTCCCTGCTTTGAGTCAGATTTTGAGAAGGATGAGAATGTAGATGTGAAGGAAGAGAGTAACCCTGTAGTGGTGAGCAGTGGATATCCCTTCTGGGGCTCGGAGCAGAACAGCAGCCAGGCCTTCCCTGCAGCCTCACCAGTGCCTGCTGAGCAGAGGGAGGGTCTGGCCAGAGAGCAGCAAGTGCCAACGCCATCCTACCAGACATACCGGTGAGTCCTGCCTTCTGCTCAAAGCTGCACTTTAATTGGTGGGATTCCTCCTCTTCTGCTGGGTATTTCCTAAGAAAAACTGCCAGTTGGGAATAGGAGGAGGATGCCTTTCTGTTGGACAGCACATGTGGTTGAGAGATGGTAGGTTAGCATGGACATAGCTCCAAGGATGGCCTTTGACTTCTAGTTCAAACCCACCGTTTCTGGGCATGCTCATGTCTTTGTAATGTTCTTTATTTCCCTGTCCCAAAATGCTCTCCCAGCCAGCTCTGTGTCCTTTGGAGGAAGTGGTGGAGGAGTGACAAGACTCCAGTGATTTTTCCTTCCTCATTGCAAAATTGGGTGTGAGTGAGCCCAGACTAGAACTGAGCCAGAACCAAGGTAGTCCGGACTCACCTTCTCTGGCATTTTATTTTTCTGTGAGTGTGACAGCGAGGCCTGGGCTAAAATCCACAGTAATAATAAGATGAAGCAGTATACAAGGGGAAGAGCTTGCCCTGCCTTTCCCCAGGGGATCTTTGTGGGTTTTCCGTGGTTTTCCACTCTGGTAGGTCTGACTCACTGTTCTCTCTGCCCTTGGGCCCAGGTTCCACGAGGCTGGGGACAGCCAGCAGCTTCCCAGCCGTGATGCCTCGACCTTGAATGATTTCCGGGCAAGGTGCCACGCCTTGGATCTGGCCATGGTGCCTGAGCATGACTCCAAACAGCTCCCAGAGGGCTTCACCAACCTGCCCCCACTGCCTCCACCTCTGCCTCCTCCCCAGGACTACACAGGAGTGGTGAACATGGCTCTGGACTCGGTGGGGAAAGCCGGGGCCCGGGCGCCCATGTACAGTCCCTATGGCAGCGAGCAGGGCCTGGGCCAGTGGGTGGTGCCTCCCCACAGCCAGTACAGGGCAATGAGCTACTCAGCCTTCTCCACGGAGTACAACACACAAGGAACTCCAGGACATGCCCATGGCACCATGGCAGAGTGGAGCCAGTACCCTCTGTTCCCCTACGCCTGCTGGTGAATGGGGAGGACCCTTCCCAGTGAAAAAACTGAAAGAAAATTGTAAATGAGATTGAATTTGCTCTGGGGTGTTGGACTTGTGAAGCTTTGCCTACACTAGGCAGAGGTATTTGCTGCAAGCAGTAGCATGGGATACCTTCACTTCCTTGTCTCCTTGCACAACAGCCCTCACCATATTTCACAAGCAGTGGTTAAACTGGTGGCGGCCCCAGCCATGTCATTGTGGGTCAAGCCCGATGTGTTCTGCAGTGGTTTTTTTTCCCAGCAGGAGTAGGAGACCACAGGTCTGCAAGAACAGTGTTTAAAGACTGAACTTACAGTCACAGTGTTGGCACCTCGCATTTGGCAGTTTCCAACATCCCTTCCTCCTGGGACTTGGTGCAAGGAGATAGGGGCTGAGGACTTCCAGTAAGCCATCCATGTGGCCAAAAGGCCATAGAACATACTGCAAAGATGAGGAAAGCAAGCAATCCTGGTGAACTTTGAGCAGTATAGTATAGTCAAAGTAAAGCTAAAGTCTCACCTTTCTTCCAGCAGCAGATGAGAGTCAAATGCACAGCAAGGCGTGTCTGGAGCACAGCAGTGGGTTGTGCAGGCAGGGGAGAGTTTGTTCCATGCAGAAGTAGCAGCAAGGCTGTGTGTGGTGTCTTCCTGTCCCTGTGCCCATCCTTCCTCTGTCAGCCCTAGATTCAAGGTCAGTGACACGCTCTTCATTCTGTGGAGGTGGAGGGAGGTTGTTCGTGCAACGTGGGGGGCTCCTCTGGGGCTTTCCGAGGTTGTCAGAAGCAGGGCCATGAGCAGCACTGCTGCTGTGTCACTCCAACCTCTTCCTTTAGAGAGAGAGGAGATTTTCCACTGTGAACTTAGTCCTTCTCCTCCTCCCTACCACCCCTGGAGAATATAATTTATAGTTGTGGTTCCTGTGCTGCTCTTTGAGTGTGTGAAGTCATCTCGCTGCTGTTTGGGAGTCTGTAGGGATCTGTCCATGTTCAGTTATCAGAGTGGTTCCACCTCCCTCCTCTCTGGTCCCATCCTGAGCAGGAGCAGCCCGTGCACTGCCATGCAAGCAGGGATTCTTCTCATCTTCCTGTTAGAAGGGGGAGGCCTCCCTGATTGCCCAAGTGCAGATGGCCGTGGCACTGGGGACTTGCTGAGACAGACTCATTGCTTCTCAGGGAGGATAGACATGTTGCTAGGTGTTATTTAGGAAATGTTTTCGTGTCACACTAATAGCTGCCATGTGGCCTGCAGCCATCAGTAGGCACCGAGGTGTGTCATTTAGCCTGTGTGCCAGATGGTTTTCTGTGTGCACACACGTGTGAGAGAGTGTGTGTGTGTAGCAAGATGTCTCTGAGCAGACCCAGGCAGGTTTGTGCCCAGTGCCTCAGGACCCATGTGCAGGGACACTGGGAAAGCCTGTGCACCAGGTTCTTGGGGCACCAGCTCCTCATTGTGAATCTGCATAGCATAGGGATGTTGAGCCATGATGTTATTATTAAAATTACTGTGAAAAGTAGCCCTGTAAATTTGTGGACTCAGCTACAATGACTGTTTCCTTATTTAAATTGTATATTGCAAACTGCTTTTGTACCACAATTATGATATGTACAGAGCAGCTGAGTACTTCTCCTGGGCTTCCCAGGATCTGAGGATGTGCAGCATTGAAATAAAAGTCAGACTTTGCCACAGTACATGTACATAATGCCCTGTGAGCCTCCTTTCGGATGGCACCCTGGCCAGTAGTGATTTGTACCTGCTGTGCATGACACACGTGTGGATATGAGCAACTCATTTAAAAAGAAATCTGGCTGGGGAAACAAAATGTGGAGCAGGTTTTTTTTAATGCCAAAATATCGTGATTTCCTGCTGTCCAAATGCCAGCTGTGTGAAGGCAGGTCAGCTGTAAAAGGCTGTCTCTGGCCATCAGTAGCAACCACCACTGTCCTTCACATCTTGGAAATGAGATGAGCAGAATGGCTGGGGAGGTGAGTGAGTGCCTTGAGCACCATGTGCAGGGCCAGCAGCATGCCCACAACAGAGAGAATGCATTCCCCACAGGCTACCTGGCTGGATCCGTTTCTTTATCTTTGTAGCTGGGAGGTGTTTCCCTGTCACAGAGCACTAATAAGGATGAGAAGCTGCAGTGAGGATGAGTAACTGAGGACAGCTGGGCAGCACTGGGGAATTCCTTTGAAAATAGGAGTGCAATGCTGTTTCTTTCAAACCTTTGCAGTAGCAGTACAGGTGCTGCTGCCCCCTGGGCCTGTCGGTAGAGCTGGTTTGGCAGACGGCTCTGCACTGGGGTAAAAGACTCAGCTTTGTGCCTAGGACAAGCCATCAATTACTCATCAGCCTTCTGTTGCAACAGGACTGCTTGCCCTTCTCCAGTGAATCATCCAGCTTGCTGGAGAAGTACCTATCCTTTCTCTGTGATTAGAGACTGCTCTCGGCTTGTTTGGGAAGCCTTTGGAGATTTTGCCTGTAGGTGTGCTCTGGACTCTGCTCCCGCCCCCTCCCTTTGCAGTTCCCACTGGCTTGTTTTCTTCAGCTGTGGCATTTAAAGTCTGTAGGAGCTCGACTGAGATGCTGGTTTTGCACGCATGTGAGATAATGTAATGCCTCTGACAGCTTCAATAAAAGGAAATGAGACATGTGGAAGTCAGGCCATTAAGACTAATAAAATAAACTCAAAAGTGTAGGTTTTGTGCATCTTTCTCAAGCACGACGTGCTCTGCTTTAGTCATGGTACCTGGGGCCAGCTTGTACATGCATGACACGCTGTTGATCTCGGTATTCATTGTTCTCCACAGTGTGTTCAGTGAGCCTCAGGTTATCTGCTCACACTGCTAGATGTGACTCAGGCTCTTGCACCAATTCTTTGCAGCAAATTGTTTATTTTCTCTGTGTTTTCTGCTCCTCTCCTGCAGAGAAGTTACATAAGGAGGAGGGCAAATGGACTATAAATGGGATCTAGGTAAATTTCCTATGGGAAATCAAAATCTTGATTTATTTTGGTTTCTCCTACTGGTTTTTGCAGCCTTAAGACTTGTCTGACGCCACTTCAATGCAGATGGGAATGGCAGAGAAACGATTTCTTGCCGATGCTGCAGTCCTTGCCGAGGCAGCAAAGCTCCGAGCTGTGCCCACAGCCCTGTGGGGACACGGCGAGTCCAGGCTATGGCCTGTTCACTGGCACCTGCGCTGGCTCTGCAGAAACAACTTCCAGCTGCTTTCACTGAGAGCTTTCCCAGTTTCCGGGTGCTGCCGGGACAGGGATGTGCCGGGCTGGAGCACAGCGCGCTCCGGGACTGTGCCTGGCCGAGCTCCCGGCACGGGGAGCGGGGCGAGCCCTCACGGGGCAGGGCGGGAGGCCTGAGGGGAGCCTGGGGGGCCCGGCTGGGCTGCGGCTCGGGGAGCACCTGCTGCTGCACAGCCAGGCTGAGAGGGCTCCTGGCCGGCTTTGGGCTGACCCCACGGCCCGGCCTGGGGTGTGTGTGGTGCTCCTTGAGCTCCCTGCAGACTGCCACCTGCATTTCCGTGCTCAGCCCAAGTCGAGGCTCACTTTAAGGCGATCCAAGCAAGCAACGCAAACCCCCCTTCCAGGAATAGCAACATTCTTTCAAGTCTAATGAGTTTTTTATTGCAGAGCTTAAAATCCACTTAATTCCCGAGCCCTAGGGTGGGATCCATGCGGAGCCTCTTTAGCAGGGGGAAGCAGCGTTTGGTTGGAGCCACAAGCAGTGCTGGTCGCCCACCGGGAGTGGCTCCGAGCCACATCCGAGCTGCCCTCCGTGCCACCCCTGCCCGCTCCTCAGCGGCCACACGTGTGCCTGCAGGTGCCTTCCTGTCCCTGCCCACCTTGGCCTCCAGGTACTCGCTGAGTGGCCAAGAGCAAAGAGAGAGGGATAAAACTGTGCAGGGCTGGCTGGGGAATGGAGGGATTCCTCTGGATCGTGGTGGGGTGGCCAGTTCTGTGTCCCTCAGCTGTTCCCAGAGACACGGCCTTGCCGCAGTGCCTGTGAGGGAGGCCTGTTCCTGCCTCGGGGCTCTGTTTGCAGCCCTCTGCTGCTGGCCTGGCTCCCTGCTCCTCCAGGTAAGCTGCGTTTTACTGTCCTGCCTTGCAGAGCTGCAGCGAGGTCTAAATGTGCTTTCTGGACGTTACAGCAGGAGGAACACGGGGGATAGTGAATGAAATTGGGAAAAGCATTTCTCCCGCACAGCACAAACATGCACGTCCTAGAACAAACCCAGAAGCGTTCTTGAGGCCTGGGCCTGAGCAGAAGTGTCAGACAAAAATTAAACAGAGGGTACAGCAAACTTTTGATGTAGGGTTGAGAAGAGGTGCTGCAGCTGTGTTGAGCAGTGTTACTGTTCAACTTAGTTTAGTGTTATTCCTTTTTTGTTTTTCCAAGTCGTGTGAGTTTGTTTTATGACCTGAAGCACTTAGCTGTGGGGTGCTGGATTGCCTCTGACACTTCTCTAATACTCAATTTATTTTCTTTGAACATGCAGGTGTACAACTACAGTGTTCCTGCCCAGACAGCACCCTGCTTGATGAGTGTAATGGATAGATTTAATTTTAATCTCCTACAGTTCTTTGGAGACATGCTGAGATTTTTTATTTCCTCCTCCTCTATTTTTACTGAAGAGGGTAAATTATATGCCTCCATAAAGCAGAGTGGGCAGCCAGTGATACAGGATGGGCACTCCCATCAGTTATGCACCAGGCATAAAGCACTGCTCACTTTCAGTATCTCTGTACATGTAAAACAGCAGCTGTTCACAGGAGAGACTTCCTGTGTGCTGGCACTGTCACTCCAGATCCCATCTGTGGGGTCGCAAAGCACGGGCACCTGTGATCTCTGTAACATCCTTGCTGGGAGATGGTGCATTAAGGGTAATCTGTGTGGAAGTGCTGGTGCAGAGAAGACAGGGATGAGTCAGGCGTGATTCCTGTCACACCGTGGGGTCTGTCCCCACGCTGAGCAGCAGCCAGCCCTCTGCTCGCCCACAATCTGGTTCGGGCTCTGCTTTGCCATCTAGAAGGGGCTCAGTGGAGACAGAGCTCTCCAGAGCAGCTCAGGCTGGTCCCAGCGTTCGAGTGAGGGGGAAATGGGAATTGCTTCAGTAAGCCTAAGTCAGCCCTCCGGGG